AGTGCTGCCTGTGGCAAGGCACAAGCAGTCTTGATTTATTTTCAGATGAGAATACTAGATTATTTGCAGAAGGTCCTAAATGGCAGAGGCACAGCATTCATAGCCGTCCCTGGGCTCTGGTTTTAGGATGTGTGGTACTGAATCAGTGGCAGTGCTGCTGTGGGGATGTGATTAAAGGAACTGCCCTACCCCAGCTTGTAGGATGCTCCAAATAGTTGGCATGTGATGGTGGTTGAAACCCAGTGCTAGAAACTGGGTTGGAGATGGCCCTCGTCACCGGATTCTGATGTCTGGTTATTGGTGAGATAAAATGATCTGTGTTTTAGGGACTGCAGCACTGGGCTGTTTCATTTGGGGATTTTATACCCTACCTAATAGTGATGTCCATGAATGTCCCAGCGTTCTGCACCACGCTGTAAACTTCCAAACTTAGGCTGTGACAGCAAGACCTGCCCTCCGTTTTGGAGGGGACACGACCCTCACAGGGCTGCTCCTTGAACATGGCTGCTCGTGGGGCTGCTGCTGGAGCCCGGTGTCTTCCGATGAGTGTGCGGTGCGGAGCCTGCCCTGGCCCCCGGGGCCTTCAGCCTCGCCGGCCCGGCAGACGTTTCAGCCCATCTCGTGTTTCCTCTGCTCTCTTCGGCTTCCTGCCTCCTCTCACTCCCTGCAGATGCTGCAGCGTTTTGGCCTTCCCTTCCAGCTGTGTCCCCGTCGCCTGCAGAAGCCGGAGCCGTCCCCGCTCCTCACTGCGCAGCGGAGCAGGAAGCAAAGGAGTTTCACATGAGACCTGAAACGCCACAACACTAAAATAGTGCCCCCTCCTCTTTAAGTTAGGACTTCCAAAGTGTTCCCTCTCCCTCCTTTTCTTAGTTTTAATTCACCTTCCTGTGTAGCTTTAGTAGTCCTAACAAATGCTCTTCAAAGTTACTAATTCTTTCCCCGTTAAATGTCTCTGCTACAGCTAAGCGAGGTATTTTCTGTTTTCTGATCAGTAACTCATGAGTGTGTTTAGCTTTTCTTCTTTGTCTTTATTGTATAAGATGATGCTCTTATATTGTGATAATGAAATATTTTGCATGTTCTTTAGAAAACCTGTACCTTGATTTGATGTTTTGGGAGAAGCAGAATATTTCATTTTAGTTATTCTTTAGTTCCTTGATGACCTTTCTTGAAAGCTCTCATTTGATAAGTTTGGATTTAATAAAAATGTTGATAATTAAAAATGCCCCAAACTATTTCTAGGATTGATTAAATGCTTTGGAAAATTACAGGGTTCACTCTGACTTTTGGTCAGAAGAAAAATGTTTATTCTTATAATTAATTTAATACATATTCCTAGAAAAGAAATCTGCTCTGTTACACTATATGTAGCACCGACTGACAGCAATGAAATGTGAGAATTTATATGGTCTTCTTGATGTCCAAATCTTTTTGCCCTCTTTTTTTTAAAAAAAGGTTTGTTTCATTTTGTTTCATTTTATTTCATTTTACACTTTGTTAAAAACATGTCTTTTCCCTTTTCCCTTGTAAAGGTAGAGACCTGTGGGTTCTTGTTCTGGGAAAGTATCCAACCCACCATAAGATTGGCATTCCAGAGTTCAAGTATGTTGCTAATATGCATGGGGATGAGGTACGTTTCAGCTTTTGCGATGTCGTTTATACCAAATATACTAACCACAGACAGAGAACTTTTCTCAAGCTTATAGTGCTTATTGTTGAGCATCCTACCTCAAAGATGACCTGATCTGTTTGTATTTCTTGAGCATTTCCACACTCAAGGCTTGCTTTTGTGGAAGGACTTCAGAAGACCTTGTATCACAAAGAAGAGTTCTGCAGCTAAGACATCTCTTAAGCAGGGAGAGCTCTGTCTTTTGCATATGATTAAAACCTTTAATCTTTAACTTAACAGTTAACTTGCACAGTGCAGACTTTAACTGCACTGGAAATTAGATAGATGGGATATTTGCTTGTATGTTATTATTGACTAGGCATGAAGTATGGCTGAAGCTCTTCAAATCCTCCCAAAGGTAAATAATAACTTAAGACTTAATATGCTGAGAAAAGAATGTCCACTATTAATGAAAAAGGAGACAGTGCATGGCAAGATAACAGTGACTGTTGCCTTTCTCAGATAGTACCTGAATCTTCCGTGGCAAGAGTCAGGACTTCCCCCTTCACTCTCTTGTTTTCTTGCTTTCTCTCTATTTCTCTTACTTTTCAGCTTTGCCTCCTTTTGCTAGCCAGGCTCAGGGTAACTTTGAAGTGCACAATTTCCAGTGTGAAAGGTAAATCTTGACACCAGCTCGTTACAGAAATGGCAGAACATAAGCTACGGAGCAAATGTGCAGAACCAAGAAAACGCCATGGATTAGGAAGTGCATCCTGTACAGGAAAGCAGAAGCTGTTGCTGCTGTCAGCACTGCGTGAGCACTTGCACGCCTACAGGCTCTCGTGACATTACGCGCCAAGAATTTTCCCAAGTTGGGCTGGTTTCACCTCGCTTGGGGTGGCTGGGAGCCTCACTGCTCCGGAGCTTATCTCTGCGTGGGAGGGAGATGATTCACGGTGCTCCGTGGGCACACGTGTTGCTGGGTGCCCAAGATAGGCTCTGAAACTCATTAAGAAAACGTGTGGTGTCAGCAAGGCAGGCCAGGGTGCCGCAGGTGCTGCAGTCCCTGCAGGGTCTGAAGAGAAGCCCAAAGCCTCTGTGCCCTGCGTTTCGTGGGAACGGGACCTGATCTCAGCCGGAATAGCCTGGCTTTTAGGCTACAAATCCAAGCGCCGTTGGACCACAGAAGGCCCCATTAAAAAAACTTGCGCGCCGCCCTATGCTGCCTTCCAAAGGAGGCACCGTCACTGCCCGCCTTCATGTTCCCACAGCGCTCTGGCTGTGGGGACAGATGCTCTTTACATCTCCATAGGGGCAGACGTTGCTGGAGAGCAGGCGGGCCGGGTCACAGCCTAAGATCTAGTTCCTACATGACAATTTAGGTAAAAATGGGCCTGTGTAACAAGTTTGAGAGCGAGGGGTTGATCCCTGAGCTACGACGCTACCGTGGGTTGCCCAGCGAGGCGCCTCTCTAGCAAATGACGTTCTGGCTTGTGCATGAGGCTGAGCAGCTAGGAGGGACCCTGGAAGCC